TACCTCCACTCCCGCCACCACCCCCCCCCGCCACCCCCACTCCCCCCTCCACCCCCACCGCCTCCTCCACCGCCCCCTCTGGCTCCACCCGCTCCCTTGCCCCCCTTGCCCTTGCCAGTGCGGCGTCTGCCACTGGGGGCAGACGCCGCGCCGACCGACTCAAAACCAACGAGGTCGGCCGCAGCGGCAGAGGCGACAGAGGGCAGCAGGGGGGAGGGACCACACCCCTCAAAGATGGGGGTGCGAGGGTCACCCCGAGAGGCCCCTACAGCGACAATACTCTTCTCAGCCGCTAGCAGGGACTCCTCAAGGAGGTCGACAGTGAGAGTGGTGGGACAGACAGAGAGAAACTGGTCCCTAACGACACGAAGGGACTCAGGGAGACGGGTGACGAGAAAGTAGAGAGTGATGTACATGGGAGGAGGGTTCGCAGCGCGGAACTCAGCAGGAAGGGCAGCGCGGTAGCGGGTGTCACTAGCGCGGAGGTGGGTAACGAGGTCAGCGACAGTGGGAAAGGAAGCGAGGTCAGGGAAGAGAAACGGTAGCATGAGGCGGCTAAGGGTAGCGGAGGAAGGGGAGGAGTAGCGCGCAACTACAGCGTCGTACAAGGCCTGAGCGGTCTTGCACTGACTAAAGTGGGCACGCTCAGAGGAAGGGAGGTGGCGACGCACAGCAAGACGTGCAGCAGCATCGCGGGTCGCCCACTTGGAGCGAACGGCAGAGTCAGCATCAGCAGGCGGGGCAGGGACAGCGCCAGAGACAAAGTCAAAGAGAGAGACCTCATCTACCGCATCACACAGTAAGTACAGCTGCAGGTCCTCGATCCAGACGGCAAAGTCAATGGCCCTCCCCTCAGCGTCAAAAGTGAGAACATTGGGGGTGGCCATGGCAGCAGCTGAAAGTCTCACCAGGATGGGAGAGTCGTGTAGGTCAGCAGCAGGCGGCTCGGGCTGCTCGGGCGGCTCGGCCGGCTCGGGCGGCTCGGGCGTCTCGGGTACCGGGCGGCTCGGCTGCTGCTGGGCGGCTCGGCTGCTGCTCGGCGGTTCGGCTGCTGCTGGGCGGCTCGGCTGCTGCTGGGCGGCTCGGCTGCCGCTGGGCGGCTCGGCTGCGGCTGGGCGGCTCGGCTGCTGCTGGGCGGCTCGGCGGGGCCGTCAGGGTGCAGCTGCGGGGCCGGGACAGGGGACGGCGGGGCCGTCAGGGTGCAGTGGCGGGGCCGGGACGGGGGACGGCGGAGCCGTCAGGTGGCGGGCCAGCAGGCGAGGTGGCGAGCCGTCAGGTGAGGCGGCGGGGCCGTCAGGTCAGGTGGCGGGCCAGCAGGTGAGGCGGCGGGGCCGTCAGGTCAGGTGGCGGGCCAGCGGGTGAGGCGGCGGGCCGTCAGGTGAGGTGGCGGGCCAGCAGGTTAGGCGGCGGGCCGTCAGGTGAGGCGGCGGGGCCGTCAGGTCAGGTGGCGGGCCAGTAGGTGAGGCGGCGGGCCGTCAGGTGAGGCGGCGGGGCCGTCAGGTAAGGTGGCGGCGGGCCGTCAGGTGAGGCGGCGGGGCCGTCAGGTAAGGTGGCGGGCCAGCAGGTGAGACGGTGGGCCGTCAGGTGAGGCGGGGGGGCCGTCTAATGAGGTGGCGGGCCAGAAGTCGAGGCGGCGGGCCGTCAGGTGAGGCGGCGGCCGTCAGGTAAGGCGGCTGCGGGGCCGACAGAGGTGCAGCGGGGGGGGGCCTGCTGCAGCGACGAAGAGGCCGCGCGGCCGTCTTGAGGGCGGCGCGGCGCGGCAGAGCCGAGAGGGCGGCGCGGCGCGGCTGTAAGGGCCGCGCGAAGTGGGGCCTGAACCGCGCGCGCGAAAAAAAAAAAATGAGTCGCGCGCGCGACTCTCGGGGCGCCACAAGGGCAGCTCGACGCGCACTAGGGGGGAGCGCGCCTCGGGGAGAATAGGGCGCGCTCCGAGCAGGAAAAAAATCGTGGGTGGGCCCAAAGAACGGTCCTTAGGAGGGACCCGCTCTATACCATGTGAAACTAACTGAACAGGAATGGATTGACTAAGTCAGAGTTGGGTACAAATACAACCCTAGCAAACTGTACCCCATATGTGCTACCCCACTATAGCCTACAAACATGCATCAGCTATAATAATCTGACAATCCCGACTCCGCGCTCTTACGCGGAGGCCGTAGAGGGTCCCTACTCCTCTCAGTGGCAGGCAGCTATGGATGCAGAGATGGCTTCCTGGAAGTCCACAGGCACCTACGTTGACGCAGTTCCCCCTCCTGGGGCGAACATTGTCAGTGGCATGTGGATCTTCCGGGTGAAGCGGCCGCCGGGCTCTCCACCTGTCTTCAAGGCGCGGTACGTTGCTCGTGGCTTCAGTCAGCGGCAGGGAGTTGACTACTTTCAGACCTTCTCTCCCACCCCGAAGATGACCACTCTTCGGGTGCTGCTGCACATAGCCGCTCAGCGCGACTACGAGCTTCACTCTCTCGACTTCAGCACTGCGTTCCTGCAGGGTAGCCTGCACGAGGAGATCTGGCTGCGTCGTCCACCTGGCTTCACTGGGACTTTCCCTCCTGGCACCCAGTGGAGCCTCCGACGGCCAGTCTACGGTCTCCGCCAGGCACCGCGTGAGTGGCACGACACACTGAGGACTACACTTGCGGCTCTTGGGTTTGCTCCGTCTACTGCTGACCCGTCGCTGTTTCTGCGCACCGACACTTCACTGCCGCCGTTCTACATCCTCGTGTACGTCGACGACTTGGTCTTTGCCACAGCGGACACTGCTGGACTCGCCTACGTGAAGTCCGAGCTACTGAAGAGACACACGTGCACAGACCTGGGTGAACTGCGCAGCTACCTTGGCTTGCAGATCACTCGGGACAGAGCACGCCGCACCATCACCTTGACTCAGTCACACATGGTGCAGCAGGTCCTTCAGCGCTTCGGCTTCACGTACTCCTCGCCTCAGGCCACTCCTCTGTCTACTCGCCACTCACTCTCAGCTCTGCCTTCGGATGAGTCCGTAGAGTCGAGTGGCCCGTACCAAGAGCTTGTTGGCTGCCTCATGTACCTGATGACCTGCACTCGACCTGACCTTGCATACCCTCTGAGCATTCTTGCACGCTATGTTGCTCCTGGGAGACACCGACCAGAGCACATGGCTGCAGCGAAGAGGGTATTGCGCTACCTGTGCAGTACGTCGGGCATGGGGCTAGTGCTTGGAGGGCGGAGTCCAGTGGTCCTTACAGGCCACGCGGACGCTTCTTGGGCTGACAACCAGGCTACGCAGCGGTCGTCACAGGGTTACACCTTCAGTCTTGGTTCCGGCTCTGTCTCGTGGCGGTCTACTCGTTCGTCTTCGGTTTTCAGCTCCAGTTGTGAGGCTGAGATGTACGCCGGGGCCATGGCTGCACAGGAGCTTCGCTGGCTCACCTTCCTGCTGACTGACCTTGGAGAGCCGCCTCGTTCTCCTCCAGTGCTGTACGTAGACAACAAGGCCATGCTGGCCTTGTGTCGAGAGCAGCGCTTGGAGCACAGAACGAAGCACATTGCTCTCCGCTACTTCCTTGCTCGTGAGCTGCAGCAGCGTGGTCAGTTGCGACTTGCGTACGTGGCCTCTGAGGCCAACACTGCTGATGTGTTCACGAAGGCACTCGCGCCTTGTGACCATCAGCGCTTCTGCACCCAGCTGGGTCTTGTGCCTGTCTTGCCTCACTTGCTCTCTTCTTGACTTTACTTGTTCTGTGACATATATATACCTGCTCCTGCTTGTCTAGTTTTATATATATGTCTGTACTCCTGCATGTGAACTGGCCTCTGGCCCTGCTCTTGTGCTCAGACTGTGTGGTGACTTTGTGATCCACCCTGAGCTTGCTTTGCTTTGCTTTGCTTGACTGGTCTTGTGACCCCTTGTTCTCCCCCACTTTGCCTATGGGGGTGTGTCAGATTATTATAGCTGATGCATGTTTGTAGGCTATAGTGGAGTAGCACATATGGGGTACAGCTTTCTAGGGTTGTATTTGTACCCAACCCTGACTTAGTCATTTCATTCCTGATCATTTATTCTCACATCAATTGCATCAATAACGCATGTCTGTGGGTTTTAAAAATTGGGATCAAACTATCATTTTCGAGAAGGTTCTTTGCGCACTCAATGAGTATGTCCATTCGAACTGGATTTGATAGAATTGACCTTTTTTTTAGATCACACAGATTGTGTTGTATCATGTGACAGTTGGATGATTCAGGAACTATGTTATTGAGCTCTCCCCCATGCTAGGCAGGGGATGCGGTAGCATAGGGTCTGGGTCAATTACGGTAACTGTTACGCATTTCCATTATGCTATGCATTCATTTCACTACCACAGTAGCATATGCATTATATTTATGCATTTTGCATTTACTTCATCTACGCATAACACCATCGGGAATATACATCACGCAATAAACACTTACGCGTTCACAGTACATCATTTTGGCAACTAAAAAAATATAGGTTATGGCAAACTAGGAAATGAGAAGAAATGTGGTTCGGCGCGTGGTAAATTGACGTGGCAAATACATAGCAGTCAGTCACTTAGTTACCAACACTAGATTTTTTTCATCCTTTATTTTTTTATATATAGAGGATGAAAAAAATGTACATAAAGATTGTAATAGGTTGCTTCGCAACCCAAAAAAAAGTTCATATCGCCTCGCATAACCTCTTTTGCTGCCAAATATTGTCGTCAAAGCTCGGTTCACAAACTGTGAGCGTCTGCCAACGCTACGGCGGCCTTCACCTCACCAGCGGAAAACTGCCTTCCTGGTTCTCATCTGCAGCGTTGGCTCGCTACCACAAGCTTTTTGTGAATCGCTTCGCACCGTTCTCAATCGTTCGTAATCCTCCAATTTGCTTCACCGAATGCCTCTTTCTCAGCGAACACCTTTCTGCTATCCTGTTTTCCTCTCTCAAGCTGCCTTGAATTCCTTATCTCCTCGCCATGATCACCGCGGTTCGTTCACTGAGACTCCCTGCTAGTAGGCTAACAGGAGGAAGTCTCGTGCGCCCTGAGGAAGACTTCCTCCTGCGACCCACCCACCTCAGCGCCCCCCTGCATAGGCTAACCACACCACAGGGCTCGTGCGCACTAACTACAGGGCTCGTACACACTAACTACAGGGCTCGTACACATTTACTACAGGACTCGTACACACTAACCACATGGCTCGTACACACTAACTACATGGGTCGTTCACACTAACTACAGGGCTCGTGCAGACTAACCACAGGGCCTCGTACACACTTACTACGGGACTCGTACACATTAACCACAGGGCTCGTACACACTAACCACAGGACTCTGCCTTAAGGCAAGCTAACCACAGGGCTCACTAATGACAGCTAACTTCAGAGCTCGACTCTTAGCTACAGGGCTCGTACAAACTATCCACGGGGCTTGTAGAATCAAGCACACTAGTTACAGGGCGTGTGAAACCAAGCACACTAACTACAGGGCCTGTAACATCGAGCACACTAATCACAGAGCTTCTGAAACACAGTACAAAGATGACAGGGCTTGTAGGATCGTGCACAGCACACACTAACTACAGGGGCATGTGAAACCAAGCACACTCATTACAGGGCTTGACGAATCGAGCACACTAACTACAGGGGCATGTGAAACCAAGCACACTCATTACAGGGCTTGACGAATCGAGCACACTAACGACAGGACTTTGTAGATTGAGCACACTAATCACAGGGCGTGTAAAACCAAGCACACTAACTACAGGGCTTGTAGAACCAAGCACACTGATTACAAGGCTTGTGAACCAACTACTGGGCTTGTAGGAATGATCACACCTAAGTACAGGGCCGTACGAAACCAAGCACACTAACTACAGGGCTTGTAAAATCGAGCACACTAACAGCAGGGCTTTCGTATTGAGCACACCGGCCTTGTGAAACGAAGCACACCAACTACAAGGCTTGCAAAATCGTGCACTTCAAATACAGGGCATCTAGAATGAGCACATTAGTTTCAGGACGTGTGAAATCAAGCATACTAACTACAGGACTTCCACAATCGAGCACACTGATTACAGGTCTTGTGAAACCACGCACAATAAGTACAGGGCTTCAAGATCAAGCACAGTGACTACAGAGCTTGTAGAAACGAGCACACTAATTACAGGGCTTGTAGAATCACACACCTTTGCAAGCAAAAACCACAGGGCTGGAGCAGGGTATGCTACAAAGCTACTGGATCAGAGCACATTAACTTGGCTCATGGAAGTTTGACACAGTGTTCAACCACAGTACCATAACTCCAGAGCTTGCGTATCAGGGTAGCCCAATATTGGGGAAATGGGCATTTGCTCCACAGTGTCATCGTAGGCCTGAAAGCTTTTATTAGATTAGACCATCAGAGTTCGTAGGCCAATAACATTAGCTGATGGATCACCTGAGCTTTTGAAATTGCCCCCTGCCATTCCAACTAGGGTCAACCAGCTCTTCTGTTTGTACCTCTGGTGAGCCAGACTGCGAATCTTCAGGTAAAGCTGCAAGTGAATCTTCAGGTGAATCTTCTTCAGAGCCATCTGGAGAGTTCAGGCAGGAGTCTGCTCGTGACACAAACGAATTGTGGGCGGTGGTGCGGGCCATGCTGAGTCGAATCATCGCCCGGCTGATCCCCTGCAGCTCTGATACCACTGTGCTGATGTCGGGACGAGAGCGGGCGGCAGGGGCGGCGCAGCGGGTGGCGAGGCGGGCGAAGGAGCGGATGGGACGGAACGGCATGGACTGGGCGCTTATTGAAGGATCAAGGACCGCAGCAAGATCGTCGGTTGCTATGCTGGCTAACATCTGGGGGCGAGGAGTGGTGGAACAGGTAAGAGGATCAAGAGAGAGAGGAGGATGAAAGGAGGATGAGAGGAATTGGGGAGGGAAGATGCGGGAAAAGTATGAAGAGGAAAGGACGACGAACGTGACCTCTAGCAATGATGTTTCAGCACCTTGGAGTGGCTACCTGGGGTGAGGAAAGGCCCCCCCACCTGGTGCACATCGAGGGAGACGGTGGTGCTGGTAGTGGCATGATCCGTAGTGGTGGCTGGGCAGCCTGAGAGCAGCTCTAGCATGATAATGCCCAGGCTGGATGGGTGAGGCCGAGAGGGGAGGCGTGAGAGGAGCGGGGTGAGACAGGAGTGGTGAGCGGTGTGGGGGTGTGAGAGAGTGACGGCAGGTAGATGGAGTTAAAGAACGGCTGAACGCATGCACGGCACTCTGCACCCATACACACCACTAAGAACCGCACCTAGAAAGCACACTGAGGAAGACTTATTTCTGCGCCCACTTGAACCACTAGGAACCACAATGAGAAATTAGAGTGAAAAGTTCAGAGTGAGTGGTTCACAGTGGGCAACCACAGTGGGGAGACAATGGAGACAATAAGGAAACCCAACCATAGATGTCCGTGCGGGGGGATGGCCACATGCGCTCCCACCTTTTGAGACGTCTCAAAAGTCACCCACAATGGGGAGACAAATAAGGGAACCCACCCATAGATGTCTGTGCCGGGGGTTGACTTTTGAGGCTCCTCAAAAGCAATTGCACTGAGCACACACAGTGGGAAGACCAATAAAGAAACCCACCTATAGATGTCGGTGCGGGTGGTTGGCCACATGCGCTCCCACCAATCCGGGTCCCTATGAGGAGCTGCCACGTGGCACTGCTGAAGTAAGCAGGGAGAGCTGGGTAGGCCCTTGATAATACCGAGATTCGCCAACCGGGCCTGCAAGGGGTGGCGACAAATAACGAGATAGTGTTGTGCATCATATAACATGTGCATATCTATATGCATGTAGGGAAACATCATAACTCTCGCACACACTCACCACAGGCAAGATGGAGGAGGAGCAGAGGCGGCGGTGCGCCAGGGGGGGCTGTGCAGCCTTTGGAGGCGGCTCATACCGTGTAATGTACACGTTACAGGGCTCTATAGCACATCAGACGTAGACACACTCACCACGGGCAGCACTTCAAGGAAGACCGAGGAGGAGCAGAGGCGGCGGTGCACCAGGGGGGGCTGGGCCACCGTGTGCAGATGGCACAGCGCCTCTGCAATGGCTGAGGCGATGTCCAGACGCTGAGAGAAGGCCAGTGGTTGTGCGGACTGTGCGTCTGATGTTGCAAGGGGAAGGGGGGTGGGAGAAAGGGGAACCGGAAGCAAAATTTGTGTGCAGGGCCACTCGTACAGCAGCAGCAGCTACATCCCCCCATCCATGATTTCAGAATGACAGCACGCTTTCATCAGCAGGATGTGCGTGCTTACCACTGTCCCTGCCCTGCATCATCAACTCCCTCTGTGCCTGCAAGCGAGCACACAGTGTCTTTTGGTCAGACCACTCGTACAGCAGCAGCAGCTCCCTCCCCCCACCGCCTCCTCTCCCTCCCACTGATGCTGGCGCCGCTGCTGCTGCTCCTGTTCCTGCTGCTTCTTCTGCTCTTCCTCCTGCTACTGCTGATGTTCCTGCTTCTGCTGCTCCTCCCCCATCTTCTGCTTCCCACGCCCCACTCCCTACCTTCCCCCCACCTGGTTCTGGTGCGCACTGTGTTCGCTTCATCCACCCCTTCCTTCCTTCCCTAACACCCTCCCCACCCTTTCCGCCCTTCCCTTCCTTCCCCACCCGCTCTCCTCCTACCTCCACTCGACAATTAGAAGGAGCAGCAGATTGGTCACCCGCCTTCCCTTTCTCCCCCCTTTCGTCCCCGTCCTCCTCTCCACCTGCAGTCCCTTCTGCTCTGCCTTGCGTCCCTGCTTGCCGTAACGCCTCACCCTCTGCTCGCCCAGAACTCTCACCTTCCCCCTCACCTCGCCCAGACCCCCCACCAATGCCGCGCCCCGCTCCCCCCCCACCTCCTCCCTGCTCCTGCGCGCCTCTCTTCCGCCACAGAATCTGCGCCCATTGCCTCATGCTCTCCCCCACTTGCCTCAGCCGCCCGCTGCCGCCCGGCTGCCCCAGAGGCTGGTCGCTCCAGCCAATCAGGTGCAGCAGATGGGGATGCGACAGACCAGAAAAACGGACGATCTGCCGTGTGTGGGTTGGCGTGGGATGGGCACGTGTGGGTAGACAGATGTGCGGGTGAGTGTTGAAAAAGTTGAAGTGACAGGAGAAAAGGTGGGGGGCGAGAGGTGGAAGGTGAGAGGTGAAACAGGATGGAAGACGGAACTTCTTGCTTCAAGGAAATGGAATTCTCTCAGCTTCACTCTCTATCACTCACTTCCTCGTTGAACGCTCTTCTCTTGGCAGCTGCGCCAGTCCAAGGCAGCCACGTGGCACCTGCCAAACCATCAGGTATGGTGGCCCGAACCACAAGCCAAGGCTCGCCCTCTGGTCCGGAGCAAGGGAAGGACTCGCCAAAAGGACCCGAACCAAGCTGATTGGTGGAGTGGGGAAGGGATGTGGACAGGGGAAGAGAAGAACTACAGGGTGTTGGAGGAAAGGTGGAGAGGTATGGAGAGGGGTACCAATGGGTGATCAGCAGTGCAGGGAGGTGGAGATGTGACGGAAAGTGCTGCAACAAGGATTAGAAGGTGAGTGTGTGAATGCAGGAGGGAGTGAGTGAATAGGAAGTGAGGGAATGAGCGAGTGAGTGGGTGAGTGGTGCAGAGGGACCGAGCGAGAGGGTGTGCGCAAGAACAAATGGGAAGGGAACGGAGGGGAGGGAAAGGGGGGTACCTTGAGCAGGGGGTCGTAGTGGTGGGTGGAGCGCGCGATGTAGTTTGCTAGAAACACCTCGTCGAAGCTGCTCTCTGCCCTCCTCGCTGCACATGGAAAGTGATCCGGTGCCATGCCATGCCATGCCATGCCATACCAAGCCATGCGGCATCATGCAACATATGGCACATGGCAGCGCATGGCAGCACACGGCAGCGCATGGCAGCACACGGCAGCGCATGACAGCACACCACCAGCCAAGACCCTTGGCAGGGAGAGACGTCAGGCAGTACCACGGTGGTGAGGGAAGGAGGAGCAGCAACATCAGTAACCGTGAAACCACAACCGTGTAACACAAGCGAACCAACCAGAGGAAGCAGCGGGTGGGGTTATCAGAAACAGCAGCGCATGGGGGACCGCACCTTGTCGGCAGCACATGCAGAAACCGATGCTGGCTATAACGAAGATGATTGCAGCACAAAGGAGCGTGGCGAGGAACGATATGAGAAGAGGGTGCGACTGCAGACGGCTGCTCCAGCCACCTGACAGTGTGGGGCGCGCAGGGGCGCGGGAGGGGAGGAGAAGGAGGCGGGACGAGAGGGAAGAAAGAGGTAAATGGGAGGGCGGGATAGAAGGGGGATAGCTGTGGGGAGCAGTTGGGGGGTTGTAAAATGTCATTAAGGAGGGGAAATGCGAATTAAGTGTGAAAGCGAAAAGGCGACAGCGCGCATGCGCGGGGAGGGGGAGTATAACACATTCACGGGGGAGGGGGCAGCGCGCATGCGCGGGGAGGGGAGGAAAGGGAGCATGCACGGCGGAAGGGACTTGCCAGAGGGCGAGGCGGGCGATTCTTGCAGAAGGCGACGCGAGACGCGTTGAAGCGCGTGAATGGAGTGATGCGCGTCATGCGCGAGACGCGCGAGAGGCGCGAGAGTAGAGTGAGGGGAGTGAGGCGCGCACGGGGGCTTCTCGTGCGGCAGGCTACTGCTACTGCCACGACTGCTGCCATACCCCAAGACGGCAACGACCATGAGTAGCGCTACCAAGGCTGGCGGCCGCCGGGTTAGACGCACGGGCGTATTCCGGCGAAGAACGAGGCGTGGCGAACGCACCCCGCCGGTGTGCGAAGTCGTTTTTTGAGGTGCCTCGAGAACCGAGCGCACTCCGGTGTGCACGGCGCGCGGAGCGGCGCGAGCTGCGCTGTTGCGTGCCGCTAATGTGCCACTCAGTGCAGCGGTCGAATCTAGCTCCATCGCCGCTTGTCGAATCTCGTACGTATATTAGAAACCTTTGAACCCCGAAGCCTATTCATGAGCAAGATGCGGCATTTCTGTGGCTAAGCAGGGTCGGGACAACGCGAGATTGATACTGAAGCCGTGAAGCCACTGAGAAAATCGACGATTTAGAAGAACCCACACAACGAGCTTCGGTGCAGCAATGATGGGATCACAGACTGCGTTGAAGATTGATCTTCGCGCGTGCTCTCGACGCTCCTACCGCTTCGTTTCGGACAGGGGGGATCTCTAAATCCTGACTTGAGTAGAGAGGACGTGAATGGGAGGGATTTCTGGCCTAGAACCATCAACAATTCTTTTGACTCCATACCGAGTTGAACCGTGAAAATCAATCTTAACCCAACTGAAACCATCCCAAACCATTTCAATCCCACACAAACTGATCGCACAGCGTTACATTTCATCCGCATCGCTTGTCGATTGCAACACCAATAATTGCTACCTCGAGACGCGGCCAGTTCACAACGGGATTTTTGACAGCGGTGCATGAATATTTGACGTGTACAAGGAGCACACTTACGGTGCAAGGAAAATAACACGAACGAGTGCTTCTTGTACGGTAATTTCCTTTTTTGTTCATGAAAGAAGCTTATGGTCTAATAAACTGAATTAGATCTCAGTAGTCTAACACATCACAATATGGCCTACACACGGATAAAAACAAATTCACACCACATCATGCCCGATCATTTAAAACTCTTTGATCAGTTGTTGCCTGCACATGCCAAACGTCAACATTAGTGTAACCCAAAATCACCATGAACAGCACCAAAACAACAGATGCATGCAAATGGATATGCATCGAAGCAGCAAAACTCAAATTCTAGGACAAGCAGCAGGAGCCTTACCCTGCAGATACTGTAGTATCTCAAGCATGCGAATGAAGAGGTTGATGATGTCAAGATAAATGTTGAGGCTTGCCATCACATACTCGTCGTATGAGTACCCTGCACACACACGGAACAGAACATAGCGGAAGTAAGTAAATGCAAGCTCAAATGAAGATATCACTGCAGCCAGCCATATAAACTAGGGTAATAAGGGATCCAGCTCAAGTACTGTGAGATCAATTCATCGCACAACTGTGTGAGAATTATGTGGTTACTTACGCCTGATGATGAGGTCGGTGTCGTACACAATGAAGAGGGCGAAGATGAGAGCACCCACCAGAGCCAGAGCAAACCTGCACACGGGGAACACACACAGGCAGACATGGAGGTAGGTGGGAAAGAGTGGCATGAAACCCAGCATACGTGTCCGCAACGCCAAGAGCAGCAAGTATAAGAGCACCGAACAAAATTATGCATGCCCTCCTGTTTCACACCAGCAACTCGCCTTACGTATAAGAGCACGGACAAACATCTGCAAGTGTAACACTGACTGTTGAGAGCTAAGTTTGGAACTCACTCGCTGCCGAGGCCCCAGAAGATTTGAATGAAGGACCAGCCAAGAAGCAGCCAGAGGCTGACGTAGAGCATGGGACCCAGGTAGCTGGAACAGGGGCGGACGAGTGAACGACGAGTGGGAGGGGTGCAGAGAGATGCGAGACTGAGAGAAGAAATGAAAAAGCTGCCGCTATAAGTCCACGTATAGCAGAGGGGACATGTAACTAGAGCAAAGGGGACGGGGTGGAAGGGAGGGGGGGAGGGAGGAGACAAAGCGAAGAGAAGGGGGGAGAGGGGGAAGGAGAAGGAAAAGCAATGGAGGCAAGGAGAGGAATGGAGAACGATGAGAAGGCGATTGCATGGCAGGGCGAGAGAGATGAGAAAGGAGGCAGGAGCGTACCTGAACTCCTGCCCCTTCTTGACAGCATAGTAGGTGTACGCTGTGAGCCCCAGCACCACTGAAGCCGTAAGGCCGAGAGCCTCGGCCACTATGGGGCCTGGTGCGGGAAAAGCATTGGCAGGAGGGTGGGAGGGAGGGAGCGAAAGTACGAGTGGGTCGCTGGATATATCTGGCCAGGAATGATCGAGGGCAAGGAAAGCTGACGGGAGCTTCAAAAAGTACAGAGAGCGATCGCAACATCGGAATGGAAATGGAACGGAAAGTGCAGGAGACGAGAAGACGTCAAAAAATTGAAGGAGGGGGAGGGGGGGGTTGGTTGGAGAGAGGGAGGGTGGTGGGGAGAAGTGGAGAATTGGGAAGGGGGACAAACAGAGAGGGCTTGAACGGAGCACACAGCGGAACCTTCCCAGCCCCACCCCACCCCACACCATAATCCCTCCTCTTCCCATTCCATCCGCCCCTTGTTTTCACACATCGCCAAAACCCAAGTACGACGCTTACCGCTGTACATGCTGCAGATGAGACCCACAGTCATGCTCATAGACGCCGTCTGCCCGGTCAGACACACGGGGGGAAGAAAGACGAGGAGGGGAGAAAGTGGGGTGGGAGAGAGGGTGCGGGAAGAGGGGAAAAGGGGAGGAAGGAAAGACGGGAAAGAGGGGAAGGGGAATAGAGGGGAAGAGGGGAAGGGGGAAGGGAGGAAGAGGGGAAGAGGGAAGAGGGGAAGAGGAGAAAGGGGGAAGAGCGGTGTGAGTGAGGACAATGGAAGGCGAAGAAAGGGCTCTGTTGTCAGACGGAAAGCGCAAAACGAGAAAATAGGATCGAGTCACCAGCGGGAGTTGAAAGCCGTACGCGAAAGCAGGGAACGGAGGAACATGCACATTAAGTGCCAAGATGACGTACCCAGATGGCGAGCAAGGCCAGGTTGAGAGGATGGCGAGACCGGTAAATGACGAGAGGAATGAGCGCTGCACACGGAACAGAGGAAGGACGTACGAGAAAATCTTACGCGGCCCATCGAAAACAAAAGAGCCGTCCTATCTAGCGTCGACCGTCACAATTAACTGAAGCAAAGAGATAACCCGGCATGAACCGAACATTTTGCTGGAAGGAGGCGACGATTGAAGCAAAGGACGTGCATGAGCGCGGAACGTAAGGCAAAAGACACAATGACGGAGGAACGTGGAGTGAGAGGAAGGGACGTACTGGCGAAGGGTAGGATGGTGGCGAAGAACATGAAGTATCCATTGGTCAGGCCGAAGTCGCGGACGGTTGGAATGAGAGCGAAGCACGATCCGACGGCGGCGGTGAGCAGGAGTTGTGCTCCAATGATGCCGTAGACCTGCAGAAGTGGAAGAATACGTGAGTGAATCCTACTAAGCACAGCAAAGCCATCGCAGGCCTTCGCTTCGGCCCATCTACTCGCTCACTGATTAGCCTGCACGTTGGTCCTACAGGGAGTCACTATGCACGCCGCATAAGCCAGACGCGCAATTAGTGAAGCCACGAGTACTATCTTAAACAAGCAGCGACCAAATGACGTCCATGGAAGAACTACAGGGAAAAGAAAAACCGCGAACCTGCCGCGAAGAACGTTACTCCATGCAGCATACCTTCCGAATGAACCCCCATCGCATCTCATTCTCGGACCGCGTGATTCCTGGGTACAGCAAATCAGACGACGGGCCCGCCTCCACGTCAGGTCGCTGATCCTTCATAAGGTGCGCGTCGACGGCGTGAGCGGCTTCCATGGTGGCAAGAGGATACTAGAACGAGGAAGAGGCGACGGGACAAGCAGAACCCACTAGAACAGGATTCGAACGCTAGAACTGAAGCGAGCCTTGAAACTGGTTTCTGTGCTTGTTTACCATTGGCGTTAGGGTTTCATCATTCATTTTAGCCTTGAGCGAGGTTATGGGATGGGACGCGCGAGGAAGTAGAGCATAGCGGTAACCACACCGCCGGGTATGTTCGCGAGTTGCCATGAGTCATGTCGGTCGTGAATAATCCGTTCCAGCATGGCAGAGATGTGGGTCATGTGACCAATGACCATCATCGAAGCCACGTTGCTTGGACGGCAAGTTAACGGAGTTCGTCGAGTTTCCGCCCAATCAAGTGAAGTTCCGCATCAGCATCTGAATTTCATACTTGTACACTCCTCGTTTCCAAATTTACACTACGGATGTTATCATGAAAAGCTCTCAGATTGAATTTTGAAGAAACATAACTACAAAACCCGGCCATCCATTCCATCAAGTGGGCCAGCCCAAATTCCCTTCAATGGAGGTAATTGAGCAGCGATCACACTCCAGGGAGGATATCCCACTCCACTAGCTCGCACACGCCCATCTAGTCGTAGAGAAATGTACCTGCCAGAGTAATTGTAGTGGAGGTATGTCAGTGCAGTGAACTGATGAATGGCACAGAGAAATAATCACGTGTATGGGAGCGTAGGATGGAAAACACCGGAAAAGATAGGCTCGTGGACTTACACAGGAGATCCAGGAGCCACATTGGCAAACTTCATTTGCTCCTTCAACCATCTGCACAAAGCAAAGCAGAGCAATTAAACAACCAACGCAGCACAACAGCTTTCCAGCTGCCAACCCATCAATGACTGCAGTTTTCACCTGTTCCACTCATCAGTGTAAGTTGGCCGGCCCATCCACCTCTGAAGCAACCCACTGGCAGCTGTAGCAGTCTGTGACGTAACACCCACCTCTCCAACCTTCCCCGCACCACTACCATCCCCAGCCACTTCACCTCCCCAAGCTGCATCCAACACCTCCGCAAACCCCTTAAAATCCCCAGGAAGCACAACATTCTCAGCAGCCGCTGCCCCTGCTTCAGCACCCACAGTCACAAGCGGAGCGACCACCACTGCTCGTTCCAGGAGTGCAGCACGGTACGGCTCGGCAGCAGTGAGGGCGGTTTGCACGTGGGAGAGGGGGCCAGCGACGATGATGAGTCGGCAGGAACCCTGCAGCTGGGCCAGGCTCACGATTCGCCCTGTGGGCAGTTCTAGACGCAGCTTTGCCAGGGACTCCTCCCGGGTGAGCCGGTTCAGGGACGCATCCTTGCCGCGCGCGTCCGACCTTGAAGAGTGGATGAAAAAGGATGGGGATGGGAACAGGGACAGGAATGGGAATGGGTGGGGTGTAAGGCTTGTGAGGGGAAGCATGAAGGAATGGAGAGTTCCGAATGCAGTCTAGGACGAAATAGCTGCCAGGGGAGTTGGTTCAGGGAGGAGTCGTCCTTCCCTTGTTCGTGCGACCATGGGGGTGGCAGGGGAAAAAAAAAGGAATGAATGAGAAGGAGGATTCTATTCCCCGTCACTGTCGCTGCTGGCCCCTGCTATTTCCTTTCTTACTTCGGCATGGATTGCTACTGACCGGTGCTGCCGTTCCTTGTTCACTTACATCAGTGTCTGTTGGTCCGTTCCTTCATTTTCAGAGCACCTAGGACGCTCTTTTCCAGTCATTCTTCATACGGTTCAGTTCGTTGTTCTTGACCCAGCCCCACCCTCTGCCTCCTTGTGCCTCACCGGTACAGGAACGCGAATATAGCGACAGCCGCGACGTCAATCCCGAGGTCCTTGAGTGAGTCCTGGATCTGCAGCGCGTCCGCGTCGCGCGCGCCGGTCGCGATGGCGAGCAGCGAGGTGGCAGTGATGAGCGCGCCGATGGACGCGGACGCGATGAACGCGCCGTACAGGAACATGCGCACCGTGCGGAACGGGTTCAGCACCTCCTGCCGCATGCGCGCCTCCTGACTGCAGGGGACACCAGGGCGGGGGTGGGGGGAGGGAGGCGGGGAACGGAAGTTCAGCACCAAACGCGTCATACAGGAACATGCGCACCGTGCGGAACGGGTTCAGCACCGCCGCATGCGCGCCTCCTGGCTGCGGGGAACCGGCAGAGGGGGGGAGGGGGGCGGAAGGAGGCAGGACAAGGTGGGGTTGGAGGAGGTTGCAGTGCAAGCGTGTGGTGGAAGCGGCGAGGCCGGAAAGCGGGATCGAATTCCACATGCAACTAATTTTTTTCGCATTCCCTATCAATTCCAGCAGCACCCATCCCGCAAATGCACGCATCGGTTCCACCAGGGCACGCTCGCTCGTACCTGTACTCTTTGCGCTCCTCCCTGCCGTCGCCGTTCGACCCGCTGGCTCGGCACGGCACCGCTCGCCACTGCCGCACCGCGCCATGCGCGCTGGAGGGGGGATGCGGAAGGCGGCGAGCGCGGAGCGGCAACAGCAGCGAGCGGTCGAGGAAAGACGCGACTGGAGGAGACTGATGCTGCTGCAGCTGCGCGCGGTGAACTAGAAGGCTTCTGGTTGCGGTATTGCGAAGTTGAGAGCGGTTTACGACGACGACATGAGAGAGTCGCTGTGAGGGAAGGGAGCGCGAGGGAGAGGAGGGTGAGATGGTAGGGGCTGTGGTGGCTGTTGGGACACGGCTGATAGACAGCATTTTGTGAAAGTCAACGTTCGCGACGATAATTAGGTAATGCTGCGGCCGCGAAGGCTGGTTGAGAACGGAGAAGGATGCGACGCGTCGCGATTTCACTTCGGCTGAACCAATGCATTAATGCGCTACATCATCTTGTGACCTACTTGTGTGAAATGAGGCTGCGCTGTTGCTGAAGGGGCAATTTTTGGTGAAGGGTGGATTTGAGCAAGAATACCATTCGGCCTTTGATTGTGGAGAGGTGATTGTGACAAAATTTCCACGTGTATGTTCCGCAATATCGTGGCGTGCTGTGAGTGCTCCATGTGCATCGCTGGAAAGCCAAACAAGATTCAGATGACCGACATTTCTATACCGCGTACGCGCCTTCCCGCTTGGGGAGGGGAAGCTCGATTAGACGTGGAGCTTTCAAGGGGCTTCGAAGTTTCGATTCCCAAGGGCGCGGAGCAGATACAGTTCAGTGAAAATATCTTACAGTGAATTCATGAAAATTTGCTCTCGGGGCTGTCGAGTTTGCCTTCGAACGTTTTGCGCGCAGAGAAGAATTATATTCACATCGTTTTGAACCGATTGAAGTCGAATTCCAACCTTCCCATTCCTCCACTTTCGTCGAGCACTGCATTCTCCAAGCCTGCAGAGCAATTTTGCTCATTCCGAGGGAATCTTTCATTATTGTTCAGCAGCAGACTTTTCTCAAGCATTGCTGTGTTGTGCCATGCTTTGTCGTGCTGTGCGGTGCTGTGGTGTGGTGTATGTGCATGGTCGAATCCAGGCAGCCATTGTTCATCGAGGGTTATCAGACTGCGCTGCGATAGCCTTCTTCGGTTGGTGATGTGAAATCACATTTCCAACTCGTCACCTACTGCAATCTTGACTCTTTTACAAGTTCCAAATTTGGCTTTCTGTTGTCCTAGCACGCACTAAAAAATTACTGCGCAGGACATCCGCTTGACATTATTCTGAGTATACATTGAAAGCCTGTCAGCCATGGCGAGTTCCGCCGTTGCGCAGTCTACACTAGCAGCGTCAGGAATCCAGCGCGCTTCTAGCATTCTCCTCCCGTCTCGCGTTAGAAATGACGGCGCGACAATCACTCCGGCTCGAATCGTACACGTGTCAGCCCGTCGCCGCAATCACCTCCGATCCGACCTCCTTCCAGGAAGCATCTCCGCGCTTCGTTTCTCCTCATCCGCTTTTCCCGTTCATCGCTCCACGTCGTCTCGCTTCGTTACAGTCACATCCGTTCTAGCGAGGGATGATGTGGTTGCGACAGGCGACGACAGCGGGTCGCAGGCTCAGCAGAGTCGCACGGAGTCGTTCTTGCTGGCGGTAGAAGAGGGAGAGAAGCGCGTGAAGGAGCTGGAGGGTAAAGTGGACGCGAAGCAACGCGCGCTGGAGCAACTACAGGTATACGCACACATCCGAAAGTCACGCTACCAAACTGCACCCGCCTTTTAACATTCTTGGGTATCCAGCTCTTTTCATTTTTTTGAGACTGAAGGTTGAGTTACGTGAAAGAAAGGAATGAAATTATATACTCGATTTATTAATCTCCACTTTTCCTGTCGCACACATGAACTGCAGGCTGACATTGACAAGCTCTATTCTGAGACGTTCGCTGGCGTAGAGATTGCACCAGAGGCATCACGAGCAGGGGAACCGGAAGGGAAGGAGGAAGAGAAGGAGCAACAGCCCGTTTCTGCTGCTGCTGACGACGTTTCCCCGCGGGTGTTTGAGAGCATGGATGAGGAGGCGTGGGGCAACCTGGGCCGTTCAGAGCCATCCGTGCTGAAGGCGCTGATTGGTGAGGGGGAGGAATTGTACCCCTGCAGATTCAATGGCATTGTTGTTTGTACTAGACGCAGATTCTCGGTCAAAGCATCCACGCATGATCCTTCTACTTCTGACCGTGCAGCTCTTTGGCACGAACATCAACACTAACCTTGTTACCGAACGCCATCAACTCAATACTTCTGCTTGCTGCTGGAGTTTTTGAAGGCGGCTAGCTGATCTCTATTTGGACCAGGTGTAACCACTCCGTCATGGGGCGTCCTTTCACTGATCTCTACTGGTGCAGGATGTGGCCACAATGTTTTACTCCCGCGCTCCCTCACTCCAGCACTCCCTCATTTCCGCTCTCCCTCACTTGCACACTCCCTTACTCCTGCACTCACATCAGAGTCGGTGGACCGGGCAGCATGGACGGCCTTCCAGAGGGAGGTGCACAGCTTGGCTCTCAGGCGCGATCGCAC